AAAAAAAAAAAAAAAGGAAGAAAATAAAAGGAGGAAAAAGGAGGAGAAAAAAATAACAAAGAGGAAATCCCGTGGTCCATTTTATGACGATTTTTGGAAATGCCAAGTTATTTGTGATTTCTCCCCCGCCTTGTCCCGTCGGGAGGGGGGATGGGGGGGACAGAGGGACCGGGTGGGCACCGCCCCCTTCCCCTCCCCCCACCCCGCGACGAGGTGAAACCTGAGGGAACTTTCTGTGTTTCCAGGGGGCGAACGTCACCCAGGGCTACGTCCCCGACGCCGTCTGGTACGACTACGACTCGGTGCGTGAGGGGGGAATCGGGGGGAAAAACGGGGCATTTGGGGCCGATAAAAGTTCAGTAGATTATTTTCCGTAGATAAAATTTCGGTAGATAATTTGGGCAGATGAAAATTTGGTAGGTGATATCGGAAGACAAAATTCTGGTAGGTAATTTTGGTGGAAATCTCCGTAGGTGATTTTTGGCAGGTGAAATTTTGGTAGATAATTTTGGGTAGACAAAATGGTAGGTAATTTAGTAGGTGAAATTCTGGCAGATAATTTATTAGATGAAGTGTCGGTAAATAATTTTGGTAGATAATTTGGGTGGACAAAATGTTGGTAGATAATTTTGGCAGATAAACTTTTGGTGGGTAATTTAGTAGAAGAAAATTTGGTAGGTAATTTGGTAAATAATTTTGGTACGTAATTTTGGTTGAGAAAATTTTGGTAGGTAAATTTTGATAGATAATTTTGGCAGATGAAATTTTGGTAGACGATTTATTAGATGAAATTTTGGTAGATAATTTTGGGTAGATGAAATTTTAGTAGATAGTTTTGGCAGATAAAATTTTGGTAGATAATTTGGGTACATAATTTGGGTAGATAAAATTTTTGGTGCATAATTTTGGCAGATTAAAGTTTGCTGGATCATTTTTTTGGTACATAATATTTTGCTAGATAAAATTTTGTTAGTTTGGGTGGATGAAATTTTGGTAGACAATTTGGGTAGCAAATTTTGGTAGATGAAATTTCGGTAGATAACTTTGGCGGATGGATAAAATTTTGGCGGATAAAATTTTGATAGACAATTTTTTTGCTAGATAATTTGGGTAAATGAAATTTTGGTAGTTAAAATTGAGAATTTCAAGTGGCAGCGACTCACGGAGCCTCCTCTTCCTCCCTCCCCCCACCCCCGGAATTAGGGCGCGAGGATCTGGTGGAGGAAGCAATGGGTGGATTTTTACTTCCCCCCGGACAAAATGGGCCTTCACCTGCGGGGGGGGCACATCCTCCCCACCCAGCAGCCGGCGACCACCACCGTGGCCAGGTAAATCCCCGCTTCCCAGCCCAAACTGCTCCAAATTTGAGATTTTTTCAAAATTTCGAGGTCACCTGGTTGCAGGAAGAAAAAAAAAAAAAATTGCAATAAAATTAAGTAACAATAATAATTAAGAAACTCTAATAAAATAATAAGGACTAAAATAAATGTGATTATTGTCAAAATCGTTATTATAATTATTAATTTTATTAGGAGTAAAAGTATTATTATAAATCAATAAGTATCACTATTATTATATATATTAGTATAATCTGCACTTTCTGCCCCAAAATTGTTCTAAAGTTGAAATTTTTTCAGAATTTCGAGGCCACCTGGTTGCAGGAAAAAAAAACATGCCCCCAAAATTGCAATATAATTAAGAAACTCTAATAAAATAATAAGGACTAAAATGAATGTGATTATTATCAAAATCGTTATTATAATTTTTAATTTTATCAGGAGTAAAATTATTATTATAAATTAATAAGTATCACAATTATTATATATATTAGCATAATTCCCGCTTTCTGCCCCAAAATTGTTCTAAATTTGAAATATTTTTAAGAATTTCGATGCCACCTGGTTGCAGGAGAAAAAAACCACCCCCAAAATTGCAATAAAATTAAGTAATAATTATAATTAAGGAATAATAATAAACCAAGAAGGGCTAAAATAGATTCTACTATTGTCATAATCGTCATTATTATCATTATTTGATACTGGGCGTCAAAAGAGAATTCTTAGTTTTGAACCCCTGCTGAAAATTAATTATTGAAATTAAATTTATTCAATTTCAATTAATTAATATTAAATTAATTAACATTAAGTAAATTAAAATGAAATTTATTGAAATTAAATTTGTTAAAATTAAAATTATGACATTTAAAATTGTTAAAATTAATTACAATTGAATTAACTAAAATTACATTTATTAAATTTATGAAAGTTAAATTTATTTAACACTGATTTCTTAAAATGAAAATATTTCCTGCCCCCCCTCAAATGACATTTTGGGTTGTTTTTCCGCAGCCGGAAGAATCCCATGGGGCTGATCATCGCGTTGGACGACAACAACGAGGCCGTCGGGGAGCTCTTCTGGGACGACGGAGAAAGCACCGGTGAGACCCTGGGGACCCCCAAAATATCTGCAGGGCCCCATCTGGAACCCTGGAGCTGATTTCAGGAGGAAAAAAACAAATTTTTTGAAAAAAATAAACATTTTAAAATTTTAAAATTTTTAAAAATTTAACAAAAATTTTAAAAATTAAAATTTATGACATTAAATTTAAGTTTTAGAATTAAATTTCATTTTAAGACTTAAAAATTTAGGATGTTTTAAAATGCATGGCATTAAATTTCTTTTAAAAATGAAATTTAATTTACAATATTTTAAAATTAATGACCTTAAATTTAATTTCGAAAAATTGAATTTAATTTTAAAATGAAAAGGTAAAATAGTTTTTAATCATTCTTTTAAAAATTAAATTTAATTGAAAATATTTTAAAATTAATGACCTTAAATGTAATTTTGAAAAATTGATTTTCATTTCAAAATGAAAAGGTAAAATACTTTTGAATTGATAGCATTAAATTTAATTTTAAAACCTACATTCAATTTAATGGGATTTTATTTCTCCACATTTTAGGTACCATCGAGAACAAAGCCTACATTTTATATGAATTTAAAGTTTCCAACGTAAGTATATGGGGTTTTAACTCTTTTTAAAGGCTCTAAATTTAATTTCGATTTTAATTTAATTTTAATTTTTTAGTCTGTTTCTATGAATATTCCTTTTTCCAATTTAAATTGAATTTTTCAAAATTAAATGCGGTGTCATCAATTTTGAACTTCTTTCACCTTCGAATTTTAAAATCAAATGTATTTTTAAAATTAAACGCAATGTCATCAATTTTAAACTATTTTAACTTTTTAATTTTAAAATTAAATTCAATATTTAAGTATATATATATGTAATGTATGTACGTATATATATATTTGTTAAAATTTTTTTAAGTGGTTCTAATTTTAATTTAAATTTTTAGTCTGGTTCTATGAACGTTCCTTTCTCCCCGTTTTGTTTTTCAACACAGCGTCCTGAAAAATCAATTATTTGACAGAAAATTGACATATGTTTGGATTTAAAAAAATATTTCTATATAAATGTATTTTATATAGATTTGTATATAAATGTTATACACCTAAAATATGTAATAACAGGGAAAAAATATTTCATAATTTTGAGAAATTGGGGGGAAATTTGGGAAATTTTGAGAATTTTGGGGGAAATTTAGGGAAATTTTGAGAATTTTTTGAAAATTTTGGTAATTTTGGGGAAATTTTGGGAATTTTTGAGAAAATGTTGGGAATTCATTGGGATTCGGGTGTTTCCCCAGAACGTGCTCCAGCTGAACGTCGTCCACGGCAACTACTCGGACCCCGGGAACCTGCGTTTCGAGGAGCTCAAGGTCCTGGGGCTGCCCCAGGAGCCCGTGAACGTGACGGTGGAGGAAAATGGCCGCCCCCTCCCCCTCACCCCCAACATCACCTACAGCCCCGCAAACAAGGTCAAAACCCCCCATTTCCAAATTTGATACAGATTTTTAAAATTTTAATACAAACATATGGATTTATAACTGAAATTCACAATATAAACCTATAAATATAGACATTTCCAATATAAATAGTCGAACACGTGAATTTATAATTATTATATTTCAAGACTTAATATAAAGATGTAAATCTAGAATTTAAATTTATGAGACGGACATAGGAATGTAAAAAATTCCAAACGGAAATATCTAAATTTTATAACGTAAATGTAAATTTTTAACCCGTTTTTTTATTTCCAGATCTTTTTCCAGATTTTTTTCCCCCAGATCTTTTCCAGACTCCCCCCGATTTTCCCGATTCCCCCCCCAACCCAGTTTCTTTACCCATTTTTTTTTTCCAGATCTTTTCCCGTATTTCCCCCTTTTTTTT